CTGCGTCTGAAGTCTCCTAGCCTAGTTGGTCCTATTGACCTTCGCCCTCTGCTTTGATCTGCGTCTCTTTCCCCTGTCTCTGTGGTTGCTATTTTTTCTCCGCCTGCACGGAAGCGTCATTTTGGGTTTTTTTCCCCCTTTTCCTCTTTTTTGCTTCCACCCATCGAGCAAGGAGCCGTTTCCTTGGACACCTGCTGCGGCCGTGTCTCTGTCCTGGGGTCCCGCGTTTTTTCCGTTTCCTCTGTCTGCGGGGCTTCCCTGGGCCTGCAGGAAGGAGACAGAGTCTAAGGGACACTGTCCAGCCCGCAGCTCCGCCTGCCCATGGGTCCGGCGCCCCCCTGAGCTCTCCTGGGGTCTCTGGTCTTCTGGTCTGTGTGTCTGTCTGCAGCTCAGGTGCCTTACTGGGCCCCTGGCACGGTGCCTTTGGCCACTGTACGTCACCAGAGGGCCTGGCCCGGCGGAGTCGCTCATCTCTTCGTCTGCGCATGACTTTCTGGCTCCTGTCTTGAGGAGAGGTGCCCGCTGGCCAGTGCTCACTCGCTCCCAGCAAGGGCCTCCCAGGCCGTCACCGCCGCCTCCCCTGCTTGTGGTCTTGCCTATCCAGCCACCCTCTCCCCCCCGGGGCCTGGGAGCTGCCGCACCCACCCTTAAAAGTGGTGACAGCACCCAAAAGGAGAGAACAAAAGGGAATGTCCTGCCACAGAGGCAGGGGGGATGGGGGGATGGGTGGGAGGGATACTGGGACCCGTGGTGGTGGAGGATGGGCGCTGGTGGAGGGATGGGTACTTGATCGTTGTATAGTTGAAACCCAAGCACAAAAATTTGTAAGTCGACAACTGTCCCTCATGGTGTTTCGCTAATAAAAATTAAAAAGAAAAAAGTGGTGATAGTCCTGGCCCCAGCTTTTCCATCCCTTGGGAACTCTCTGCCTCAGATGTTCAGCCCAACACGCTGCTTTGCATGGTGGGGCCACGCACTGAGCACTGGCTCGTGAGTCTGGGATCTGCATGCCCGCTGGAGTTGCTAGAGAGAGGCCCGCGTGCGTCTCTCCCAGGGCTGAGCGCTGCTTCAGAGAGAACAGGAGTTCTGGTTTTTTATTTATTTATATTTTACTTTTTGGGTCCCACCCAGCCATGCTCAGGGCTGACTCCCAGCTCTGCACTCAGGGATCACTCCTGGCAGTGCTCAGGGGACCCTAGGGGATGTCGGGGAATCAAACCCAGGTTGTCGGTGTGCATGGCAAACGCCCTCCCTCCTCTGCTATGAGTCAAGCCCTGACTTCAGAGCACTGGAACCTCTAAGGCCCTCGGGCCCGTGCGGGCCACAGCTTCCTGGCCTTGGTGCTCGTGAATCAGGGAGCAGTTATTTGCTGGGCTTGGGCGGGCGCTGTGGTTTCTTGCGGTGATGTCAGTGGAGTGAGGCAGGGCAGGGGTGTTGCTGGGCGTCGCCTCCCGTGCCAGGGTGTGTTGTTTGCTGGCAAACAGGTTTTCTCCAGGGAGACCCGGGCAGTGCCCCCTCCATCCCCCCCACCCACCCCCCTATCTCAGTCATTTAATGCCGGGGACCCTACGGGCCTCTGCGGGCAGAGGATGCTCTGCTGTTGGACAGGGGACATCGCTGGCCTCTGAGTCACCCCGGCGGAGAGAGTGCCCGGCTTTCCTGGGTGACCCCGCCCCCAGCATGGGCCGGGTCATGAGTAACTGTCACATGCCTTTGACATTGCTGGCCCGAGCGTGGGATTCTCACACTTGCTTCTCGCCGTGGCCTGCTAGCAGCACAGCATGGTCCTGGGGTCAGTCCTGCTTCCTCCCGGCGCCTATGGCAGGGAGCCGGCATCTCTGGGCTTCAGGGAGCCCTCGGCGGCTGCGTTCTCCCACCTGGCAGGTACTGGGCTGGGGGGAGGCTTGGGGGGAGGGAGCTGGCCCCGGAGAGGGGGTGACACTGTTTATTTTGCCCTCAAACCTGGCCGGTCTGGGAACTGTGGAGTCTTGGGAGGCCCTAAGAACTCACTCCTTGGAAGAGACACAGTTAAAAATGAATTAATAACCCTTGGCAGCGCCGGCCCTGAGAAATAACCCACACGCTGGTTCTCCACGGAGCGCTTCCGACCGCCCGGGAGTCAAAGTGACCGAGACGTCACAAAGGGCTGGCCCTGAAGGCGGGAGGTCGGCACGTGACTCCAGGAGAGCAAACAGCCCAGAGCCGGTCACGGGTGTCCAGGGATGGCCGCCCGTGGGGGTCGGGTGACGTGCGGACATGAGCGCCCCGTTCTCCGAGGGGGCCCCGAGCCCCTTCCCGCCCGGCCTGGCGCGTCTGCGCCAGCCCACGTGTGTCTGAGACTCGCACTGGCCCGCGGGTGGTGGTCAGTCCTCGGCCAGGCCTGGCGAGGTCAGCAGTGCTGCTTTGGGGTCCCCCGGAGCTCAGGATGCTGGGGGGGCACAGGAGCAGATGGCCCCGTGCTTGGAGGACAAAGGGTGAGCGGGAAGGAGGCAGGAAGGAGCTAATCTCTGACTGGACGGGGCGACCAGCTGGGGGGGGGGGGCATGCCCGCCGGCCAGTGCTCGGGCATTGGTGGGTGATTTTAGGCCACTGATTTAGGACAGATGCATTGACAGATGCCAGCGCTGTGTTGGTGACTTTTTTCCATAAACATGGGTCTTGTTCTGTCAAATGCCCTGGTGCTACACAGGGTCCCCCAGGCCGGGAGTGACCGCCGCGCACAGAGCCTGGAGTGAGCCCTGACCCCCCGCCTGGCCCAAAATTAAGGAAAAAGAAGAAGGAAGGGGGGAGGAGAGAAGGGAAGGAAAAAGAAAAAGTAGAAAAAGTTCCCTGGGCCGCCCCTGCCTCTTTGGGGCATGTTTGGGCCAGCTGACGCCCACTCTGTGCCCCCGTGCTCCCTGACTCCGAGAACTGTCCTCTCGAAACCTTCAGATGCCCCAAGTTCCCCTCACCAACCCCCACGGCCTCAAGGCATGCATTCATTCCCGAGTGACCTCTGAGCCTCAGTGCTTGCTTGCGGGCAGGGCCAAGCAGGGCACAGACACAGCCCTGGCCGTGGACCTTAGGGTTAGGATTAGGGTCCTGGTCCTGTGAGTCGAATTGAGAGAGAACTGGGTGTCAGGCGTCGTTGAGGCTCGAACCCACCAGAACACTGTCCGGGGTGGACTGGGACATGGCTTCTGGTCAGAGCCCGAAGCTTCCGGCCACCTTCTTTTCAGGGCCCCGGATAGAATTCTAGCTTTGCTGTTGGATTTGTAGAGAGAACCAAACTCGATTTGCCTTGAAACGTTTTTTGTTTTGGGTCACACCCGGCGATGCTCAGGGCTGACTCCTGGCTCTGCACCCAGGAGTCACTCCTGGCAGTGCTCGGGGGAACCCTATGGGAAGCTGGGGATCGAACCCGGGTCGGCCGCGTGCCAGGCCAACGCCCTCCCCTGTGCTGTGCTATCACTCCAGCCCCTTAGGGGGCTGGAATCTGCCGAGATTCTGGAGTGAGGCTCAGACCTGAGGCCTCATCCCCTAGAGGGAGAGACGGCAGTGGAGAGCAGACCGGGCAGGGGACTCTGCACTCACAGGAGGATGGGCTCAGGACGGGGGGTCCCGGACCCCTGGTTCTCGGCCCGGCAGGGCCGTGGTTGAGCGCGTGGCTGGATGCCACCCCGGGGAGGGCGGACAAGCGTGACACGGCCCCGTTTTTGTCTTGCCCAGATCACTCTGCCCGCTGTGTGGAGGCTGGATTTGATGAGGGCGACCAGGCTGGAGGCTGTTCAGGTGAGAGACGCGGGGTCAGAGGGGAGAGACAGACAGACAAGACAGACAGACAGACAGACAGACGGCCGGGGCAAAGCGCGGGCCCTGGCTGGCCACGCAGACATTGAGGCAGGTTCCAGGGCCGCAGCCATCACTCGCGTGGAGGTGTGCGTGTCTTTGTTCCGGGGGGCTCTGAAGACGGGGAGGAGGTGCAGTCCAGCCGCGTGGAGGGTCCATGATGCCCCCAGGAACCTGGGTCTCACCTCTCTGGGGACGTGCAGGGAGTTTCCTGGGGTCACCAGTGAAGCGAGTGATATTTTACACAAAGGAGAATGAGATCTTTTTTTTTTTTTTTTTGCTTTTTGGGTCACACCCTGCGATGCTCAGGGGTTCTTCCTGGCTCTGCACTCAGGAATTACCCCTGGCAGAGCTCAGGGGACCCTATGGGATGCTGGGAATCGAACCTGGGTCGGCCGCGTGCAAGGCAAACGCCCTCCCCGCTGTGCTCTCGCTCCAGCCCCGAGAATGGGATCATTTTAAATAATGAGAATAGACAAACGGAGAGCAGTCACCAGCTCTCACAAACAATGCAGGCACGCAAGGCCCCAAGGCATGCCACTAGTGCTTATTAAACCAAAGTCTGTGTTTCATAAATAATTCCATATTTTTTTCCTGGAGAGGCACTATTTCTGCGATTGTTGAATTATGTATGTATGTGAATTTGGGGCTATAACTGGCAGGACTCCTGGCTCTGTGCTCACGGCAACTCCGGATTCTGTGCTCAGGGCTGACTCCTGGCTATGTGCTCAGGGGTCACGCTTGGCGGGGCTCAGAGGGACCCTGTGGGATGCCGGGGATGGAACTTGGGTTGGCTACGTGCAAGGCCAGCACCCTCCCCGCTGTGCTTCGCTCCGCCCCTCCCTGATTCTCTGTGGGTCCGGGTTTAGACAGTGAGTGAGTTTTTAGAAACCTGCAGTCTGGGAGTCGGGAACGATGGATCAAGTAGACTCGCTCGCTCTTCTGTGTCTGGCCTGGGGTCTAACACGGGACCCTTCCCTCGTTCTGCCCTCGGCGTATTCGGCTCTGACTTAAGCGCCCGCCCTCCGTCTCTCTCTGAGTCTTGTTCACTCTCCCCTGAATCTTGTTCACTGCTGCTTCGGGGCCGTCCCCGGGGGTGGGGGTCCCTTCGGGCAGGGGGTGGCAGGGCGAGCCGGCCCCTGCATCTCCCTGAGCGTGTCTTCACCTCGCAGAAGCGCTACACCGGCCGTTTGGCTGCGACGTGGAGTCCCAGGCGCTGAACGAGGCCATCCGCTGGAGCTCCAAGGAGAACCTGCTGGGCGCCACCGAGACGGACCCCAACCTCTTTGTCGCGCTCTATGACTTTGTCGCCAGCGGGGACAACACCCTCAGTATCACGAAAGGTGAGCGTCTGGGTCGCTTCCGCTCGGGGCCCAGGCGGGGATGGAGGGAGGAGGGTCCGGGTTCAGCTCCCAGTACACCAGGGGGCGGCCCCAACACCCAAATATTGAACTAACGCATTTTTCTTTTTCCTGAAGAATTTTTTTTTTACTCTTTACACCTTTCGTTTTGTTTATTTATTTATTTATTTATTTTTGGCTTTTTGGATACACCCAGCGATGTTCAGGGCTGATTCCTGGCTCCGCACTCGGGAATCACTCCTGGCGGTGCTCGGGGGACCCTGTGGGATGCCGGGGATCGAACTCGGGTCAGCCGTGTGCAAGGCAAACGCCCTCCCCGCTGGACAATCAGTCTGGCCCACACACCTTTTGATTTAATCTATCACTTTTTTTTTTTTAAATGTGCTTTTTCTTTATTGAGCCACAGTGCCAAGGTTGTTTGTGATTGGTTTCAGTCACTTAATGTTCCAACTCCCACCAAAGCTGTTTCTTAGGCGGGTGGATTTTGGGTCCCACCCAGCGGTGCCCAGGACTGCCTCCTGGCTCATGCACTCAGGGCTCACTCCTGGTGGGGCTCAGGGGACCCTCAGGGATGCCAGGGATCCCATTGGGTCCCCCGTGCACCGCCAGGAGTGATTCCTGAGTGCAGAGCCAGGAGCCAGCCCTGAGCATCACCGGGTGGGACCCAAAAAGCACCCCCTCCCCCAAAGAAAAAGAAAAGTAAGCATGCTTTTCCCCCCCTCTTATCTTTGGGCCACTCCTGGCAGTGCTCAGGGGTCACTCCTGGGAGGTGTGTAGGGCCCACACGTTGCAGGAAGCAAACCTGGGCCTCCTGCATTCAGAGTCAGTGCTCAGTCCTAAAATACTCTTTTGTTCTCTCTTTGACGGTGTTTTGATTGAGTTAAAATCACCTTCAGGGCCTGCAGTGATAGCACAGCGGGGAGGGCACTTGCCTTTCACGCGGCCGGCCCGGGTTCGATTCCCAGCATCCCATATGGTCCCCTGAGCACTGCCAGGAGTAACTCCTGAGTGCATGAGCTAGGAGGAACCCCTGAGCATCCCTGGGTGTGACCCAAAAAGCAAAAAAATAAATTAAAATAAATCAAATCACCTTCAGGGTCAGAGCGTTAGTGGGTAAGGTGCTTCTGCAGCCAACCCAGGCTCTAACCCCATCCAGGGGTCCCTGGAGCAGTGCCGGGAGCAATCCCTGAGCACAGAGCCAGGAGTTAGCCCTGAGCAGTGCCGAGTGTGACCCAAAGAGCCCCAAAAAAAGAGAAAGAAAGAGTGACAGTGGGCTGTCCTCAGTGGCCTGTGTGTGACCACCATGGACTGGGCGTCGGCCACTCTGCGCTGCCCGACACGGACGGCAGCTGTGGGGCCCACGGCCGACTCGCCTCTCCCGGGTCTCTGGGGTGTGTGAGAGTCTCAGCAGGGACTCGAGACCCCGCTTCCGCCTTCCCTGTTTGGCTGGAGGAGCGTTTGGTGGGTGCTGGGGGTGCCCCCAGGCGTCGCTCCCCAGGACCCCCAAAGTAGATCGCAGAGGCCCTCAGGGGCTCAGACTCCAGCTGGAGCTGCCGCATCCCTGACACGTGCCTGAGACGTTTGTCCCCGTGGGGGCGGGGGCGGGGGTCGCTCTTTGGACCTTTGGGTCCCGGGAGAGGCGGTGCTTTGGGGGTCCTCGCTGCCCCCACCCCAGCTTTCCTTTCCGGAAACACCGTGGGAAGCCACGTGTGGTCCTAGAGCGGGGGCTGCCCGCGCCCGGCACAGAGCCCCCAGGGTGCTGGGGTCCCGCCCGCAGAGCCTTGACCCCTGTCCCCCCCGTGACGCCCCCGGCCAGGCGAGAAGCTCCGCGTGCTGGGCTACAACCAGAACGGCGAGTGGAGCGAGGTGCGCTCCAAGAACGGGCAGGGCTGGGTGCCCAGCAACTACATCACGCCCGTCAACAGCCTGGAGAAGCACTCGTGGTACCACGGGCCCGTGTCGCGCTCGGCCGCCGAGTACCTGCTGAGCAGCCTCATCAACGGCAGCTTCCTGGTGCGCGAGAGCGAGAGCAGCCCCGGGCAGCTGTCCATCTCGCTGCGCTACGAGGGCCGCGTGTACCACTACCGCATCAACACGGCCGCCGACGGCAAGGTGAGCGCCCCGGCCCCCCGCGCCCCCGGCCCCGCCGGCAGCGTTGCCGGGGGTGCTCGACCACACACACGCACACACACGCACGCGCACACACACACACACACACACGCACGCACACACACACACACACATGCACACACACACCACTACCGCATCAACATGGCCGCCGACGGCAAGGTGAGCGCCCCGGCCCCCCGCGCCCCCCGGGCCCCGCCGGCAGCGTTGCCGGGGGTGCTCGACCACACACACGCACACACACACACACACGCACGCACGCACACACACACACATGCACACACACACCACTACCGCATCAACACGGCCGCCGACGGCAAGGTGAGCGCCCCGGCCCCCCGCGCCCCCCGGGCCCCGCCGGCAGCGTTGCCGGGGGTGCTCGACCACACACACGCACACACACGCACGCGCACACACACACACACACACACGCACGCACACACACACACACACATGCACACACACACCACTACCGCATCAACACGGCCGCCGACGGCAAGGTGAGCGCCCCGGCCCCCCGCGCCCCCCGGGCCCCGCCGGCAGCGTTGCCGGGGGTGCTCAACCACACACACGCACACACACACACACACGCACGCACGCACACACACACACATGCACACACACACCACTACCGCATCAACACGGCCGCCGACGGCAAGGTGAGCGCCCCGGCCCCCCGCGCCCCCCGGGCCCCGCCGGCAGCGTTGCCGGGGGTGCTCGACCACACACACGCACACACACGCACGC